CTATAATATGCTTTTCATTTATTTTTCCAGACTAAATCTGGTTTGGTACCAATATAATGAAACAGATGACCTCTTATATATTTTTTAATATTTTATTTATTATTTTTATTTTATGTGTATGAGTATACGGCTTGCATGCATGTAAGTGCACCTGTGTCATGCCATGCCCTCAGAGGTCAGAAGAGGGTGTTGGATCCCCCTGGGACTGGAGTTACGGATGGTTGTTAACCACCATGTGGGTGCTGGAAATCGAACTCAGGTCCTCTGTAAGAGCAGTCAGTGCTCTTAACTGCTGAGCCATCTCTCCAGTCTTCTTTCTTTGTATTGATCCTTTCTCACAACAAAATATTCTCAACTAGGTATGGTTGCGCAAACCTGTAGTCCCTGCTCCTGGGAGGCTCAGGTGGGAAGCTCACAAGTACAAGGCCAGCTTGGGCTACATAATAAGACCTTGTCTCAAAAAGCAAAAACAAGATAAAAGTTAAAAAATTAAAAAGTAGCCAGGCGTGGTGGCGCACGCCTTTAATCCCAGCACTTGGGAGGCAGAGACAGATGGATCTCTGTGAGTTCAAGGCCAGCCTGTTCTACATAGTGAGTAGTGAGTTCCAGGACAGCTGGGGCTACAGGGAGATCCTGTCTCAAAAAGACCGAAAAGGAAAAAAAAAGTAAAAAGTAGAACAAGGAGCTGGAGAGATGGCTCTGTGGTTAAGAACACTGGCTGCTCTTGCAGAGGACCCAGGTTCAGTTTTCAGCACTCACATGGCAACTAATAACAGGCTATAACCCCGGTTCCAGGGATCCTGCATCCTCTTCTGGACTCTGTGGGCACTGCATACATATGGTGCACTAATACACATGCACGTAAAACATTCATACACATAAAAATAAATAAATCTTAAAAAATAAAATATTAAAAGTAAAGCATTAAATATTTAAAAAATATTAAAAGCATATTCTTAAAAGTGAGGGAAGTAACTACAGTTAAATCTGAAGGAATCTAGAAATTACACAGTCTGACTCCCTCTTTCCTTTCAAATAGAACTAGACCCATCGGCTGGGGCTATGACTCAGTTGGTAGAGTGTCTGCCTAGCATGCACAAGGTCCTGGGTTTGATCTCAGCACCACATAAACCAGGCTTGATAGCCCATGTCTTTAATCCTAGCACTTGGGAGGTGAAGGCAGGAGGATCAGAAGTTCAAAGTTGTCCTTAGCTATTCAGTGAGTTTCAAGTTCGGCCTGGAATACATGAGGCCCTGTCTCAAAAATATATTAATAAGTAAATTAACTTAAAAAATTTTTAAACTGGGCCCAAAGGTGACTGGCTTAAGCCCTCGGTGTAGTGAGAGCACTTGGGACCCCTGGTTGCCGACCTGACTGTCCATATTCTGAGTGCTCATTCTGCCAGCACTCATCACTTCTGGCAGGGAGATGTCCCGAGTGACAGAAGCTTGGGACATTTGCACTTACCATCCAACAGCCAGCTACACTGGGTGAGATTTTTCAGCTCATGAAGGGCCAGCCGAGTCATGACATCATCTGGGATGAGCTTCCCTTGGTCAATGAAAGTCTTGGCCAACACACCAATTTCTACAACAAAGAGAAAAGCCAGTTAGTGTGTTTGCTTTATCCTATTCCAGACCCCAGGAATTGTCTAAAGGAGGCCTCTGGACTGCAGGCCCATATGAAAGTACATATCACCAGCCACCAGCTTTTTCTGCTACAAGCAGAGGTTATGCTGTGCATAGCAGCAAATGCCAGTAATACCAGCAGGTGTCAGAGGCAGGAGGATCAGGAGTTCAAAGCCAGCCCCAACTACTAGAGAGTTTGAGGCTAGTTTGGACTACATGAAACCCTGTCTCAAAACAGACAGGAGGCAAAGACAGTAGGATTGCCTAAGTTCAACACCAGTCTGGTCAGCATAACAAGTTCCAGGCCACCCAAGGATACATAATGAGACCCAGTCCCCAAAGACCACCACTACCATCAATAAAACCAAAACAAACCAGGGACAGGAAGAACACGTACATGAAAGGGCACAGAGGGCCCCTAAAATCCTGGGTTTTCTCCCTGGTGCATGAATGTTCCCTTCATTCTTATTCTACACATACTTAGTTATGATAATAGTTACAGGTATGGAATATTTCATAAGAATTACATTGAAAACAAAACATTGAACATGCAGATTTCCCTGGGCCGTCCCCACCCCCAATCGTTGACTCTTCCTCTTTGGTGAAGCAGCTTGAAAGGGTCCCCATTCAGGATCTATAGGCTCCCTTTTCCTTCTTGTTTTGCTCAAGGCAGAATTTCAGTTCAACTACAGAGGACTAGCAGTGGTAGAACTCCCTTAGGGTCTGGGTTCATCTTGTCCCTCCCCTTCCCCATTTACACCCTTCCCTCCCAGCATACTCACCTGTTAGAACACTAAGGTACTCTGGGCCTCATGGCTTTTGCACAAGCCTCTTGCTCCCTCTTTTGCCAGATAATCTGAATCATCATTGTGGTTTGGATGTGGCTTAATAAGCAAATCAAAAGATACTGAAAAGTGTTTGGGTTGCCAGAGCTCAGAATAAAATCTGGTACCCAGTGAAAGTGTTCAGAGGAAGTAGAGCCATTGAGAAGTGTTTGTGTCCTGAGGATCCCACCCTTGTGAAGAATTAATGCTGTTCATATGGAGCTGGGCTAATTCCCTTGGGAGTGAGTGCTCAGAACAGAATTAGTTTCCTTGAGAGTGGGTTGTTGTAAATCAAGGCTGCTCTTGTTTCTCCCTTCTTCATTTACCCACTTGCCCTTCCACTAATCAGCCTGGTATAATTCAGCACAAGACCTTTGCCAGATGTGGCCATCAGATCTTGGACTTCCAATCACTACAACTGAACTGAATATACTTCATTCCTTTATAAACTACTCAGTCTCCAGTTTTGGATTATAGCAACAGAAAACAGGCATCTTAAAGGACTCCTGTGGCACGACATCCTCAATTTCCCAGGCTACCAGAAGTTTCTCCTCCAGACTTGCATATTGTCCCAGGCTCCTCTGTTGCTAAAGCCTATGTCTATTTACTGCTATGGACTAAGCTGTGTCCTAGGCTGAAAGCCTAATCTAACCCTAACTTGACTATATTTGGACTACATTTACCTTGAAGGAGGCAATTAAGGTTGAATGAGATCATACAGTGGGGCCATAATCTGATAAAACTGTCCTTTCAGACAGAGGAGGAGATACCTGGAGTGCCTAGGCACCGAGGAAAGAAAGGGAGAAGGTGACTGGCTACCAGCCAGAAAGAAAAGCCTCACCAGAAACCAACCCTTTCAGGGCCTTGATCTTGAACTTGCAGGCTCCAAAACTGTGAGAAAATAAATCCTGCCACCAAGCCTCGCAGTCTGTGGTATGCTGTTATGGCATCCACAGTGATTAATGCACATGGCTCTATGCTGACTGTGAACACCTCCCACTCTGCAGGTCTCAGCACACATTAGTGTCTGATGGACCCATGGATGACTGGGTGAACAGATGAATATGTGGATACACAGACAAAGGTCACAGTTCTCCTGGGTTCTAGCCATAGAATTTTAAAAGGTATAACTTATTTTGTTAAAAAATGAATCTGTAGAGTTGGTTATGGTGGCTCACACCTTTAGTCCTAGCACTCCAAAGGTAGAGGCAGACAGATTTCTGTGGGTTCAAGAGTTCAAGCCTAGCATGGTCTACATAGCAAGTTCCAGGTTAGCTGGTGGTATAGGGAGACCCAGTCTCAAAAAGACCAAAAAAAAAAAAAAAAAAAAAAAAAAAACCCAAGGGGCAACCAAAAAAGAAAACTATAGACCCATATCATTAATGAACATAGATGCAAAAGTTCTCAACAAGACCCTTGCAAACTCAAACCAGACAAAGACCCAGTATAGAACTGGGGAAATGGTAAGATGCCCCAACCTTAGCTGAGGAGCTATTGGCAGCTGATCATTGCTGGGTAAGGGAGAGCTGTTCTTTAAGGGAGTGGTGCTTGATAGGCTGACCAGGCTCCAGTGGATGAACTTACACCAAGGGACATCTAGGGACACAAACTTAACTCAAATGCAATAAATCCAGTAGGGGGGCTCCAGGGGAGTACAGATAGGGGAAGGTATCGAAATATGATTAAAATGCATTGTATGAAATGCACAAAAATTCAATAAAAGTATATATTGAGAAAATATTTTTTACTTTAATTTTTTTGGATTTACTTTTATGTGTGTATATATATGTGTGTATATATATGTGTGTGTGTGTGTGTGTGTGTGTGTGTGTTATGCCTGCATGTATATAAGTTCACCTGTGTCATGCAGTGCTACAGAGGACATAAAAAGTCATCAGATCCCTTGGAACTAGAGTTACGAATGATTATTAGCCACCATGGAATGGGATTCAAACTCAGGTCTTCTGCAAGAATATACAGTGCTCTTAACTGCTGAGCCATCTCTCAAGCCCCAAATAATAACTTTTTAAAAAAGCAACAAGTAACAACAAAAAAACTACGCTGAGTGAAAGAAGCCAGATGGGAAAGCCCACAATTGTAATTCCATTTGTGTGACGTGTCCAGACTACTCAAATTGAGAGCTATAATATTGTACTAGTGTTGCCAGAGGCTCGGGTGGGGCGTGCAGGGGTGGAGTGACTAATAGGTATGAGGGTTTTGTGGGTAATAAAAATATTCTAAAATTGGTGGTGGTGACGATTGCACAGTCTATGACATACTAAAATGCACTGAATTGTATGCACATTTTAACTGGCTGGGTTATATGGCAAATAAATCATCTCGACAAAAGTATGGGAAGAAAATGAAAGGCACTCCTTTTGGAAAGCAATACTGCTGAATGTTCAGAACATTATGGACATGGCTACCATGTACACAAAACACAAACAGAAGACAGGCAAACACATAGTCATGTGCGCATGAAATATCTTACAAGAATCTTTTCACTAAATATTCTTTTAGTTTTTTGGGAATTAAAAAACATAGATGTGTATTGAATAAAACAGATCACCATTATAAAAATAATTTGTTCTAAGCTGGGCTTGGTGGCACACGCTTTTAGTACCAGCACTTGGGAGGCAGAGGCAGGTGGATCTCTATGAGTTCAAGGCCAGCCTGGTCTACATAGTGAGTTCCAGGTCATCTGGGGCTACAGGGAGACCCTGTCTCAAAAAGACCAAAATAATAATAATAATAACAATAATAATAAATAATTTGTTCTATCATCAATGTGATCCTAATCATGCACACCTATGCTGCATGGGTCTACGAAATAGTGCTTGGTCATATGGAAGCTGGGGGGCTGACTGGGAATCCAAGATCATTTACTGAGTTAGGCTCCCCAACATACAGAGGGAGATTCAAAAGGGTTAGTCCTGTGTCTAGGGTTATAGATTGAGAAGCACTGTACTTGTGGTACCATGACTCAAACTCTGAGCACCACATGCCAATCTTACAGTTTCTCTCATATTGAACTACTATTTACTGGTTTCCTTTAAACAAATCATCTTTTAAAATAAGCAAGCTACAGTGTTCACAAAATTTAAGCTATTTAAGCTTTTTTTTTCAAATACATTTTGAAATAAATTAAAAAAAAATCTGTCTACCTAAAATTATCTCATGAACCTCAATTTGGGAAAGACTGCATGGTGGAAAAAATATACGTAACACAGGCAGCCTAAGTTTTCACCCTAGTCCACCACTAAATGCTGTTTATTTTCATTCTGGTTTGGTGTGTGTGTGTGTGTGTGTGTGTGTGTGTGTGTGTAAACTTCGTGAATGTTTATCTCTCACCCTTGTGTGGGGACACACTAATGGGTGTATCATGTCAACATAAGAACAGTGCTGCCTGAGTGACCACAGAAAGGCTGTTTCTTGCTGAGGGAATTCTTTAATCTCCTGGGAGCTCAGTTTTTTCATGAGAACATTGGACCAAGCACGTACAGTTCAGACTGCAGGGTCTTAACTCCGGGTCCTGGTTGTGATCTGAGGTCTCCAGGTCTGTTACTGTCAACAATCTTTCCAGAGTTATCACACACATTTTCAACTATGTACTTAGGGATTATAAAACAGCAGCACCTTTATAAAATGATGGTTGGTTCCTAGAAACTCCACATTAGGAATTTACCTCAAGGAAAATAAGCAAAGATACAGCCAAGCTGTTCAGGTTCCTAAGAGTATTTATTACAGCAAGGAATGGTTGACAGCATAAATGTCCAGTATACAGGTCTGAAGAGCCAACTAGGGACACAGCACTTGCTTAGCATGAACACGGCTCCAGATTTTAGTTCTGGCATCTCAGAAAATAAGTAGCCACTAGTAGGGGAAAAGTTGAAATAATCTTGCAAACTTCATGAAATTAAGTCGGATTGCTTAATGCTGTGTAAACATGCTCACAATAAAGGAGGATAAAAAGCATCCCAAAATGTAACAGTTGTACAAATGCACACAAATATGACAGTGAAAACAAAAAGAATAAAGGGGAATGCACCAAAAGATTGACCATGCTTGCATGGAGAGACCAGTTAACTTATGCAGGACCTCAACTTTGCTTTTCTTTATTCTCATGATATTTCTTTGTAAGTATGACTTAGCATCAGAAAACATGAAGCTGTGTTTGGTTGTTTTTTTTTAATTACCTCTCTCCTTGCTCTGATTCTGTGGGAAAGAACCAATCCATTCACAAATATTTATTGAGAATATGTTCTTAGTCCTGACTACAGGACTATGCCAGATTTTTAATGATCTGTAAAAATATTCTGTAATACAAGATTACTAACATCTGTGACAATTAATAGATTATTTACATCTGTCAAAACAATCTCATGACACCTCCCCAAGATTCACTTTCTGTTCTTCTGGCTAAAGAATTGCCTATACTTCTTTGACCCAGCCATCCCAGGGCCTGCCTGTTCTGGGCTTCAAGAAGCAGCTGATGATCCAGGCACAGTGGAAACTATCCCTAGGGGGCAATCTGGGACTTCCCTCTGAGCTCTGGAACTTCACCCAGCTGAGCAAAGCCCAACGCCCTGTGTGTACCTTGAACTCTGACCTTACAAAGACTCTTCTCATGATCTTCTAGTTCTCCCAGCACGGCTTGGTGGGTTTAGCTTGTAATACCAGCACTTGTGAGTTTGAAGCAGGAGGACTGCTGCAAGTTCCAGGCCAGCCCAAACTACCTAGTGAGTCCAAGACCAGCCAGAACTATAGTTGTTGTTGTTTAAAGACACCCTACTTCTCCTGAGTCTTAATGAACTATTTGTCTTTCCTTATCTTGAAAAAGAAAACAAACTGCCCATATAAACTACAGAATGGGCAGCCAAATATCTGTGTGTCCTTCTCCCCTGCTCTGCAGCCTGGTCTAGAGCTCCAGGGTCAGCCTGACTCACTGGAGTGTTACAGTTAAGCAAGGAGTGCTGTTTCTTCGGATTTCAAGTTTCTTTAAATAGCATTTCATTTACTTTTAGAAATATTTTGTGTTTCTCTAAGTCAGTGAGCATTCTTTGCTGAAGATGCTCCCTAGCCCCTAGGCCCACTGTACAGTCAGTTTGCAGATTATCCCTGAAGGCTTCTGTACTTTGGATAGCCACACACCAACCAGGCACAGTCTGCAGGACTAGGGACTGTTTGCTGTAGCTGCAGTGTACTGCACCAAGAACATTTAGCAAGAGTCAACTTGACCTTTAGATAAAATGTATTAATTACACTTTTGCTATTTTTTTTTAAGATCAGTGTTGGAAAAGAATGAAAAACACGCTCTAAGAGGTATAAGTATTGAACTAACTCCAAGAGACAAACTAAAAGCACTGGGTTGATTTTATTTTTTCCCAATCTGAATGTCAGTGTTTCTTTAAACAATAAAACAAAACTCACCTGGAAATGCCTAAATGATCATCAGAAGTGAGGGGACTAGTTACATAAACCATAGTAGATTCAGCAGGTGCTGATACAAACGCAGTGGAATGGATTTCTGTCTCTATATGGAATGATATCCCAGGCATAGAATGTAAACATACTGATACAGGGTAAATATATTACATGTTACATAAGGGATACACAGACCTGTGCTTGTACTGACATTTCAGAAGGAATCACATTGTTCCTCTCTGAAGAAAGGGATTGAGGCAGGGAATGAGAGAAAGCTTTGCTTTTATTTGGTGCACATATTCTATCAGACCCTTCTCTTCTTTACACTTTTGGAAAAAGTTTTTTAAAATGCTTTGTATAGGCATTATTTATATGTAAATGACTCAAATGAATTTTAAAATAGGTACTGGCTTGGCAGTAAAGGTCAATACCGGTGAAGAAAAACAAATCTGTGTTAACTTTTTAAAAATAGCCTTGTTATCTGCTAGTTGCCTCACAACTGTAATTCCAGCACCCACTGGGGAGGCTGAGGCAGGAGGATCTACAGTTTAAGGTTAACCTGGACTATAAGTGGCAAGACCCTTCTCAAAAAATAAAAGAACAAAAATAAAAATGTTTTGCTTAAAATAGAACTTACATACGCAACAAATTCACCCACTGTAAAGTGTAGTTTGTTGACTAGATTTTGTGCTGAGTTAAAAGAATTTGACTGAAGAAACAAAACAGTCGTTTATATAACCACGCACAAGGACAGCTTTAGTGCCTAAGAAATATCTGGTAGTATCAAAATCTAAGCCAATTTTGTGACTACAGGGAGAGAATGATGCTTGGCCTTGAGAAGAGGGAAAGGTCAGAACTACAAGATCTCACAGAGCTTAACCAAGGACAGGGTTTGAGAGAGAGAGAGAGTGTGTGTGTGTGTGTGTGTGTGTGTGTGTGTGTGTGTGTGTGTGTGTGTTTGGGGGTGGGGTGGAGAACAGAAAGCTAACCTTGGCAGAACCAAAGCCTGCTTTCCGTGTACAGGGTACACGTGGAGAGCGGGGCCCTCTGGATGGACCCCCAGCAGCAGCTGCCAGCAGCGTAGGATGTTCCTCTCAAACAAAGCCAAGTGTTTCCTTCCATCTTTGAGCTTCAACCGTGCCCCAGTTTCCTAGTCCCTTCCCCCCTGCAATCTACCCAAAGCTGTCCTCTGGGGCCAGAGGTTTCTGGGCGCAGCCCGAGCTCTTCGCCCCGCTGCGGTCGGTGCGGGACGCGGCGCTTGCAACGCAGGACCTGCGCCCCCGGCCCGCAAAGCCCCACCGGGGCGATCGCGCCGCGCCAGCCCTCGCTCTCGCTCCCACCTGTGCCCTGCAGCATATTCTGGCGGAGCAGGTCCCCGCTGGAGAGGTGCTTCAGCTCGAAGTGTTTGGTGATGCGCGACGACACGGTGCCCTTGCCCGAGCCGGGGGCCCCCATGATCACCGCGCGCAGCAGCCGCGCGGGCGCCCCCATGGCCGCGGACGGTGACCGGAGCTCCGACGCTGGGGCTGTGGCCTGGCCTGCGCGCGCACCGGCTCGGTGGCCCTTTTTTTTGGTGGCCTGGGCGCCCGCGCTCTCCCGGAAGTGAGCGACGGCCACCGGGGCCGCCCCGCCCGCGGCTGCCCGCCACTGCGCCGCCCCTCGGCGACCGATCCGGATCCCCTTGCCACACTCACCCCGGCTCCCCGCAGATCCGCGCCGCAGCTCTCGGCGTCCCGAGACCCTCGTGCCCTCCTGGCGCTGCCCAGACTCAACCCAGCAGATTGCGCTTGGCTCCCCTCTCCCTGGTGGGCAACTCCTGGGCGCCCCCTCCTCGCTCTTGGCGCTCCTAGCCGGACTCCATTCTCTCTATGCTCATCTTTTTCACCCCGAGCCCCTCCCGGCTGTCAGGCCCTTCCTGCCCAGTCCCAGGATACAGTTGTGCCCCACTCTGGGACCCCGGTGCTCCCTCCACCCAGCTACACTCGTCTCCTCCCCCTTTGCTCCCCCACCATCCCTCACCTTTTCACGTGTTATCTCCTTTCACCTCCCTCCTTCCCCTTCTGCTTTCATCCCATTCCTTCCCTCCCCACTCCTGGCCTCCACCGCCCGACTTGTCCTCTCTATGTAGAATCCCAGAGGTGACCTTGAACCTTTCTCATTACAGTTTTCATCAAGTGAAGTGCTTTAAGTTACATATCTGTGAGAGGTGTCCCTTATCTCCCAGAATCCACTTTCAGAACCAAAAGTAGCAGCTACAGTTACTTCACAGAGATCAAAACTACTGGTCTGGGGCTGGAGAGATGGCTCAGCGGCTAAAAACCCCGGCTACTCATGGAGAGGATCTGGGTTCAATTCCCAGCACCCACGTGGCTGTAAACTGTCTGTAACTCCAGTTCCAGACTGGAGTACCCTCTTCTGATCTCCACAGGCTTTGCATGACACGGGTGCACTTACATGAAGGCAATACTCACACACATAAAATGAAAATAATAAGTAAAATATTAAAAGTACTGGTCCCTTCATAAATGCATTCATTTCGGAAATATTCAGTGCCGACTGTATGCCACTGTTCTTGGGCGCTTCCAGAATGCTGTGCTAAACGAAACAGTTTCTGCTGCTTGGGTTTAAAGTCCAGTGGCAAAAGTCCATCTTAAGGAAGAAACAAATGATAAGATAATTTGAAACAGTGCTAAGAATAAAACAAACAGAATCTGTGAAGGAGGCTGTCTTAGATCTGGTGGCAGTACTTTGTAAAGGTGGTCTTGCAGACTGAATTGGAACATAGAGGGATAGTGACAGGCCCAAGGAAAGGCCCCACAACTCAAAGTCCGGCATGTTCCAAGAACAGAAGCCTATGATAGATAGTTGAATAGCATTTTATCTGTAAAATGGACCTAGTAGTTAATATGTGTATGAATTGCTTGCACAATACCAGCCACAGGGAAAGTGCTCAGTGAAGACTGCACCCTGCCCTTTTGGTATGTTTTCTTTCTGTTCGCACAGCCACGCAGAAAGGAGGAGCTGAAAAGAAACATGGTGTATCCCTGTCAGTGACTGACAAAAGAAAGGTTCGAAATGACTTGTAGTTTCCAAGTAGAAACTATTTCAGAGATAAATGGCAAGAATGTCTTATTTGTTCAAAGAGTAGAACTGATCTAGGTGACTTGGCTAGGGGAGGCAGATAGCCCTGTACTCAAAAAAAAAAAAAAAAAAAAAAAAAAAAACTCGTAGAGTCATATAGTCATTACCACACAAGACACAAATAAAAGACTAAAGACACAAGAACGACTGAAAATAAAGAAATTAAATATTCAATTCATGTAGTTAGAAAAAGACCATCAGAATAACCCAAGGAAGGCAAAGGAAGGGATTATATAAACAGTGTAGGAAAGAATGGGAGGAACACGTTATGTAACACTAGCAAACTGAAGGTGTGGGAAAGCGCTTCTAATCTCCAAAAGGGAACATGTGAGGTTTCAGTCCCCAAAGACACTTGAAAACAAATCTTTGGCTCTCCGGATTAGAAAAAAGTTCAAACAAACAAGAAGAAGAAAGAAAAAAGCTAAGGATCATCGGATTGTGGGGTGGAAAGAAGTGTGTGGTCATATTAACAGGCCCACAGAAGCTGCCAACTTTGGCTTTGCTCAAGGCTGTTGATAACAGAGGAGTGACTGACTGCCAGACTGGGAAATCTTCTGGCAACTAGGCACGGCATAGTTATGTCATCACATACAGGCTGTGTGTGGGTCTTTGTTTCACTGTCGAACTCACACAGGACTGAATTCAAAATTAATACAGAGCTTAATTTAAATTTTAATCTAGCAATGGTACCCAAACTACACATGATCAAATTTTTATACAGATTCGGTTTAAATCCACAAGAGCCCATATGAGTGCCCTGCATATAGTAGGCATTCAAGAAAAGCCTGTTGATGAAATACTAAGGATTATTGTCACATTGAAGACTGGAATTGTTAAGCTCTAGAATGTACAGAGCAGGACAAGGACTGTAGGCATATGTCACAGATTGAATTGTATCTCCCCAAAAGAAATGTGGAGATATAGTACTGTGTCCCCAGTACTTCAGAAAATGACCTTATTTGGAAAAAAGGTTGTTACAGACATAGGTGAACTCACATTGGAGTAGTCGGTCATTGCTTTACCCACGTGATGTGAAGACATGGAGTGCTTCTAAGAAAGCAATGTGTGGTAACAGAGGCAGAGACTGGAGTTAAAGGGATGCAAGCCAAGGAACACCAAAGATCACTGGCCACACCAAAGCCTAGAGAAAGGCATGGAACTACTGTCCCTTAGAACCCTTAGGAGAGCCTGCAACCCTGCAGATACCTTGCTTTTGACTCAGAGCTTCCAAATCTATGAGAGAATAACATCCTATTGCTTTAAGGTTCACAGTTCCTGGCAATTTGTTACAGTAGGCCTAGGAAATTAATATACATGTTCCAGGAAATGTGGGTATTTGTATTGTTTGTCTCCCATCATAAGTTAGGTAAGTGAGGATAAAGGATCTGAGAAGCTATAACTAGGATTACAGTTGGGTAAAGCTATCAGAAGAGGAGGCTAGAGAGATGGCTCAGTGGTTAAGAGCACTGGCTGTTCTTGCAGAAGACAGAAGACCTGGGTTCAAATCCTAGCACCCACATGGTGGCTAACACCAGTTCGTAACTTCTGTTCTAGGAGATCTGATGTCCTCCTGTCCTCCACAAGTACTGCATGACACAGGTGCGCTTACATACATGCAGATATAACACTCATACACATTAAATAAAAAATAAATAAATTTTAAAAAGAAGAGATATCAGAAAAGAATCCCGGAAAAGGAGGCTGGAGCCAAAACTCCAGCCTTCACTAACTTAATGCAACATGACTTGGCTCCTTGCCTTAGTGGGGACCTGGCTTGGGCCCTCACACAGTTGTATAGGTTCTCAAACTGATTTCTCATGACTTACTCGTGGGGTTACAACTGGCAGCTCAGCTCCTCTGCAGATTGCTGTCTGGGTTCTTTGGAGGGAGAATGTGTAAGTTCTCACATCTCTTACCCCCCTCACATTTGTGATGCGCCATTGTTCAAAGCAAGCCATGTGGGCAAGCCAGGCTCTGTGTGGAAATGCAGAGACAAGCAACTCATTGGGAACCATTAATAAACCAATCTGGCTCAGAGGCCCTGTATAGACTGCTGTTATAATTTAACAAGATATTCCAAAACTTAGTAGTGCAAAACAAAGATAGTTATTACCTCACAGTTTCCGTGCATGAGGAACCCAGGCATAGGCGAAGCTCAGCTGGGTATCTCTGGTTCAAGGCCTCACACAACACTTCAGTCAAGATGCTGCCTGAAGTTATTGTCTTCTCCAACCACAACCTAGAGACAGTTTCCTCCCAAGCTGGCTGATGTAGCTGTTGGTAAATCTTGGGTCCTCAGTGACCATTAGCCTGATACCAGGGTATCAGTTCCAATACTATAAATAGGACTGAAGATGTAGCTCAGTGACAGAGTTAGTGAGAATGAGACCCTAGCTTCAATCCCCATCACCATAACATACAAAAAAAAGTAATGAAGGGAAAGAAAAGAAATTTAAAAAGAAAAACTGACAAAAGAAAGAATGCTCTTGCTTTCTTTCCTGGAGCTGACATTCTATTGTGGAGAGAATAGGAAGCCAGCGCATAAATATATAAATGCCAGTGCTGAGGTTAGAGAAATGGCTCAGTGCTTAAGGGCACTTCTTGCTCTTCCATAGAACTGAGTTCAATTCCCAGAACTCACCCCAGGCAGCTCACAACTGCCTGTAACTCCAGCTCCAGAGGATCCAATGACCTCTTCTGACCTCTGCAGACACCCACACACAACACACATGTGGCATACATTCATACAAACACATACATAATAAATAAATAAGTAAATCTTTTTAAAGATGACAGGCATTTATAAGTACAACAGAGAAAAATATGGAGAAAAAGGGAACCTAGGGTTAGGATAGAGTTATTGCTATTTCATAAAGAAAATAGAAAGTATTACCAGATAGGTCAACAATTTGGGAGGTGAGAACACGTCATCTAGGTAACTCAAGAAAGAATATTCTATACAGAGTGAGGAGAGACAGTGAAAAAGTCCTTCAGGAGAAGTATGCGTGGGTTTTCCAAGAACAGTGGGGAAGCCAGTGTGTCTGGAGCAGAAGAAGTTAAGGTGTTGAGGTAGTGAGGGTCCATGCCACACAAGGGTAACCAGCCACTGGGACAGATGGTGTTAGTTCCTGTGACCTTCTTACATGTGTTGACACTTCCCCAATCAAGAGATGAGAACTGTGTCCCCTCAACCTCTGTGATTATCTGGTTATGGCAGGGTCAGTCAAGTTTCTCCAAGTAAAGTTATTCTTTTCCTTTATAATGAATACATCTGCGAGAAGGTAATCTGAGAGTTTGGAAAGACCCCATCCTTCAAACTTCTAATTTATTCATTTACATTTATGCATGGTTTCCCACTTTATTAAATTGGAATAATCCATGGTTATTTATTCATTTTGAGGTTCAATTCATTTCAGATTTGGCCAATGTAATCTCCGT